TAGGGGTGCACCGAATGGGAAATTCTTGGCCGAAACCGATACCGAAAATAGGAAACAGTTGGCCGAAAACCGAATGCCGAAAGGCCGAAAATGATTAATAGAAAATGTATACATTTTTTACCAATGTTGTTCAGCTAGCTGATTATGGAAAAAGACATGATTATGGCAAAACTTAACTTAAATATTAATCACTATTATGGGTCCATAAAACATTTATTCAGCACTTTTGAATGCATACAGTACATTAATTCCAAGTCAAGTGCATTTTCTTTTCTCTGTAGGATAACTACAACAAAGTGCATTCAGAACAAAGCCAAGGTGCTTTAAAACTGCATAAACATCTAGGCCAGTAGGCCTACAACAACATAGTGTAAATAAAGACTGTAACAGCCAGGCCTTCAACAACAACAAATGCACCTATAAGTTTGGTAACCTAACGTGTTGTTGTGATGACGTAATCAAAACGCGGCGGCTGGCTCACAGCCAACATGTCTGCCGCTTGGAGATATTTCCAAATATCAGAGAAAGAGGCGCGGATTGCGATTTGTAAAACGTGTTCAGCTGACATTTCTCGAGGGGATTTAACTGCAAAGACTTTCACCACTTCGGGATTACTCCACCACTTGAAATCAAAACACCCGGACAAATATGCGGATTATGATCAACGTAACCCTGTTCTCTGACATTCGGTGATATTTTTTCGGCGCTAAAACCCTTTCGGCCAAAAGCCGAAAGTGCCTTTTTAACCATTTTCGCCCGATAATTTTCGGTGGCCAAATATTCGGTGCATCCCTAAGTGATACATTTAATGAATATACCACCAACCAAAAAGTGAAGCATAGAAAGGAAGATAATATACTTAGGACACATTGTAGAAAGGCTTCTTTTTTTTTACTTATAAACGCTCAGTAACGATTCAGGGAGGCAACCTGCAATTTTACTGAAATCAATCTGTCTGTTTTAACAAGCTGTAGTTTTATCCTTTTTATCATCAAATTGCTGAATAATATTTTAAATGACATAACAGATGGACCTGTCAAATGTATTCCTGCTACGTCCAAATGAGGGTCAGTAAGCATGCACTCATGTTCAGCACACACTTTTACAAACACTGATTAGTAATCAAACAGCAGCAGACTGATCAATAACCATTGAGACAGGGTCAAGGACAGAGTTGTTTTGACAGGAAAAACACAGCAGGCAATCACACACACACACACACACACACACACACACACAATTCAACAAACTCTGGCTAAAGACATACTTTTGCAGAGATAATGTTGTGGTTTAAAAACCTTTTAGCCAAAGGGTAATCTCTATATTACATTTGAATGACTGAAATATAATAAATATAAACATTTATTTGGTTATGTATCAGGCAGGCAAATTAAGAAAAACATTTTTTTTAAAGATCTATTATGCTTTTTGGGGTTTTACCTTTCCTGTTGTGTGTTATATAGGTTTTTGTGCATGACATCACTGTGTAACACTTGCGCTTCTTTTGGCTAGCACTCCAATACTTTGTACCTGATATGCTAAGGGTTGGGCATTTCAAAGTGGTTGACCAATCAAAACAGAGCCGGCCAGCTAACCAATCAGATCAAACTGGGCTCTGGTTTCAGACAGAGGGTGAAAAGAGGTGCTGCATCACAGGCAGTATGGGAAAAATAAAGCACTTTTTTAAAAGCATGCAAACAGTAGAAGCACAAAATACATATATGAACCTGAACATTAGCAGAATATGTCCTCTTTAAACACAGACCTCATTTAATTCCTCATGTTCTGACTTAACTAACAGAATCATAAGGGAATTGTAACGTGCATTCATGTTTTTTCAAAGGTTTTAGATAATTTTCTGCATATCACAACCTAAGCAAGCTACCTACATCCATCAAGTCCTTTTCTCTGCTGCTTGTCCAGATAAGCATCACAGTGACAGCAGCACCTGATGACCATCCTTCCCAGGGGTACAAAGCACTTCAGCGGGCTCCTATTGAGTGTGGAGGAGCAGTAACTCAATGCCAGAATCTCCCTGGATCACTGAGTTTCTCGCCCACTAGCAGACACAAGCCTCCCCATAGAGAAACCTAATTTCAGCCACTTCTGTCCCCTCTCTTTGTCTTTGTCAGTCACTACCCCGAGTTCATGACCACAGGTAGAGGGGGGGGCAGAATGGATATCGACCGGTAAAGTGAACAACTCTTCACTGCTGTTATACCTGACTCGGACCATCTCTTTGATTAAACATGTGAAAGCTGGATTTTTTTCCCTATTTATGTCATGGTGAAAAATAAATATATGTTCTCTTTGTAAATGTGATGCATTTTGTGTTTATTCAATGCTGAATATTTTCTTTTTTGATGTGACTTCTTTTTATCTAAATGTGAGCAGAGAAAATGTTTTTATTTTCATTTCAAGAGCTTTTTTATTTCATGAGAGGACAAATGTGAAAATACATCATTTTGAATTACAAGTTGTTGAACTTGTGCACTTAGCAGGTGGGTATGACGGAAAACTACAATCCCCCACACACACACAGATCGGTTAATCCTGGCATTTTGCCCAGATCATCTCTACCCTAAAGGGTTAACCTCTTGATTCATTTTCTATCAGGGCCACAGATTATCTGGCCTAACCCTGTTGGAGTGGACTCAATCTTGGGCCAAAGAATGAAGTAATGCAGGGATTTCTCCCAGGAGGAATCAATCACTTTGCCAAGCTCCTCAGAGCTAGCCTTCAGTCGGACTTAACCGCACTGACTCTGCCCCCTCCTCTCGTCCAATCTCAATCTGGATGAGGCAGTAGGTCAAAAACACAAAAAATCACTGACCTGAGTGTAGGAACTTTATAAGGCATGGTCAGTGAGTCAGTGTTTAGAGTATTTCATGTGGGGAGGCTGTAAATCCCTCCAAATACTCCAAACAACAGCAGATTAAAGGGTCAGCGTCCCTATGACAAATCTTAACCACGTAATGTCAACAGTGTTAGCTGTTGAGCATTCAGCTCAATGTGGAGGAATGTTTGTGTCTGTGGATGGTAAGTATGACGTGTTGTAAGGGATCGACTCACACACAGCCACAGTTTTAAATATGTGCCCTATGGATTAATACACACATCTCATTTCTCTGCATAACGCCACAGATTACTGCAGTGTTGGTATGTTGTTTGCAGCATGATATCACTTAATCATGGAATTAGAGAAAAAATGTGTCTTGCGTTTCAAACAAAACCATTAAACCAAGTAAAGGCTGG